TTAAAAAATTTAAAAGCAGTATAAAGTCGCACTCAAGTATAAGAAACTTTAGCTACAAAATTCCAAATCTTTTTTTTTAAATATAAATAATAATTACTTACACTTTCGCTGATAAGCATTCATTCATATTTTCAAATTACTTTCTAATTCAGTATGCCACGGGAACTTAGTGAAGATCTAAGATGGAGAGTCATTTATTTGAATTCAAAAGGGTATAGTAATGAAGACATTACTACGCTCCTTTTTATGAGTGAAGCTTCCGTACGTCGAATATTAAGTATGTTTCAAAAGTGGGGATGTGTTAAAAATCCATTTAAAGGACAACCTGGGCACAAAAAAACTTTTATCTGTGAAGAATTAGGCCTATTAAAACGTATCATTAAGGAGAAAGTAGATTTGTATCTTGATAAGCTCGCAGTTGAGATGGAAAACTATATACAAAAGCGTTTCTGTATCGACCATATGCCGATCATTGCAATATTGTGGTATCTCTCGCAAAAAGGTAACCAAAATTAATAAAATTAACTTTATTCTGTTACTAATTATTTTTTTTTTTGTTAGATACAAAAAATGGCCGCTGAGCGAAATGAAATTTTGTGGAGTGCTTACCTGGCTAATATTGGAGCCAGTTATTGTCTGGACCAGTTAATTTTTATAGATGAAACTGGGAAGAATGAACGCAGTACTAATAGACATTATGGTTATGCGCCCATTAATACTCGAGCACAAAAAAAGGTTATCTTTATTCGTGGCAAAAGATACACGATATTACCTGCTCTTTCACTAGATGGTTTTTTGGCTATTGACGTTATGGAAGGAAGTTGTGACAAAGAGCAGTTTTATAAATTTATTGTATCCCAAGTGGTAAGTTAATTAATTTTTATTGCTATTTAAATATTAATTATATTATTAAATATATATTTAATAATAGATTCGAACGATGAATCCTTTTTCGGGGAAGAATAGTGTTATTGTTCTTGATAATGCAAGGATTCATCAAAATGAAATGCTTGTTAAAATAGTGGAAGAGCTTGAGTGTTGTGTTATTTTTTTACCTCCTTATTCTCCTGACTATAATTCTATAGAAACAGCCTTTAGTACTATTAAAAGCTGGATTAAAAGGAATAGGGACTTTATGAATTCCATGAATGATCCATTTTATGCGCTCATGGTTGCATGTGCACAGATCACATCTGAAATGGCAGTAAACTTTTTTTGTGAATCGGGTTATTTAGAATAAAGTTATTACGTACTTATAATATTATTATTATATTATTTGTATTCGTATAGATTACATATGTAACAATTCTGCGCAATGATAATCAAATAACGGTTTTGACTACAAATAGATCGATCGTAGGATAAATAAATATATTATATTAGTAACCATAGGAAGATTTTTATTTTAAAGTACTTTCTAAACTACGAAGAATAAACAAAAAAAATAGGGTTATAGGACTCTACTATTAAAAATAATCAAAATCACCTTTTGTTTTAAAGAAGTTAGCATAGTAATAACCTAATTATGAAAGTCATCCTATGGTATTAGTAATACTTCAATTAGGAATTAGGTAATGCGTAAAGGAAAAAATTGATACTTATCATGCTCATATAATATGACCATAATCATCGATCATGATTGTGCATCAGGAAATTAAAGGCATATTAGATAATAGTTGTAGTTAATTGTAGATATAAAAAAGAAAGAAATAATAATATTTTATGGTATGTATATGAAAGAAATAATATTCTATGGTATGTATATGAAAGTTCCTTCAAAACTTATACTATTCTTTTTATAACCATTATTTTGATATGAATTTTATTTTATTTCCTCGCCAACCCCATCTAGATAGCAGAGAATAAATCATGATTATACTTACTGCACAAAATTTTGCTTAACCCAACTATTACTTTTAAAGGAAGGTCAGATATTATAGTACACTTGAGTTGCTAATAGTAAAATTTTTATGAAAAGCATATATATTCACAAGATTTATTAATAACATAATATTCGACTTACTATATGATAATAAAAAAAAAAGATATTTCTAAACCCGTGCAACACCACACCTTTCACATTAATAAAAGGCCAATTTTAATGTAGATGTTATGAAGGCTCTGTTCAATAAGAATTTTTTTAAAAAGCGAAGAACTAAATCTAATCAAGCAAAATTCTAATGATATATAACTTTATCCAAACATTTTTTTAAAAAAACGAACTTTAATCATATAAAAAATCCCGTTCAATAAAAAATAAAAATAAAATAGCATGATTTTATTTATCGGGATCGTCTAGAGCCAGGTAATAATTTAAATGCATCACATAACTTTTGTTTTACAAATTTATTATTAATCAACTTAAAAACTACCTGGCTTTAGACGATCCTCATTTATCGACAATTTTAAAAATATAGAGATGAATCAAACATTAATAAAAATAAAATAACTAAATTGGAACACTTTCATATTTGATAAAATATGAAAGTGTTCCAATTTAGTTATTTTTTTAAACACATGCTGTAAATGAGTGAAAAAAGCATGGGTTGTTACATAAGACCTGTGCAATAAATATGTATGTACATATATACCACAATACCCAGACCTTCATTATATTAATATTTGTTTTCTGCCTGTCTGATATTTTTTCACCACCCGATTTTGGTAACACCTAATTGAATTAATTCTGAATCACTCAGGTTCTTAATGGTATTTACAGTTATTTCCTCCCGTTTAAATCCTGCTATTAAATCTAAATAACCACCATTTCCATTATGATTTTTGTCTAACTCTTCAAAAAATTCCTGAAGACTTGGAATTGAACCTAAGCTTAATGTAGCTACAGGCGACAATTTTAATTGTGATATTTAGATATTAGCTTTACAAGCATTAATTATACCAAAGGTTGGGTATGAAGGTGGCATTTCGATGGTGATAAGTTTATTTTTCTGCAAATAAGAATATTTATTGTATTTTATATTTTAAAATTAATTAATTTAGGAAACTGGTATTTTCATACCCTTATATACAGTATAATGTAAATTATACATATACATATATACAAAGATACATAGAATATCAATACATATGACCAAAAAATAGGTATGAAAAAATAATTTAATTATGACACTTATTATATCTCGTGCCCACAAATGTAGGCATGCAGGTATTAATGCAAGATGTTTATCATCTTCAATATAGCAAGGCGTAGCGTGAATGTTGCATTGATATTTGGATCTAATTGTGTGATAATATTGGCTAGTTTGATCTCATCAGTAGTAAGTTTGGATTCTTTGAGTACAAGATTCGATTTTGATTTTTTGGTTTTTAATTTTGGTGTATCTTCATCCGAACTACTGGATTCTTTCTATAAATGTATATACCGTTAAAAATGTGTACGTATATAATTATTATGTATAACTTATTATAAATGTACGTATGTACGTACCTTATTTTTTCTTTTTTTATTACTTTTTTTATTATTAGATAATTTTGATGCAACATTTAATACCATAGATTTACTTGAATTTTCTAATTTTTGACATTTACTAATAAATGCATTATAGTCATCTTTGTTATTTAAAGCCATTGCTTGTCTACGGCCATTAATTTTATAAGAGACTTGAATGTTATTTTTATTGAAATCATTATTATTAATGCGTTCTTGAATATGTTTAATTAGATTGTCTTGAAAAATGTTGAAATCGTCTGATTCAATTGTGAACCATTTTGCTGG